GCAGAATAATGCAAAAAATGAATTCTAGTGACTTCAAATTAGCTAAAAAAAACATGTTTTAACATAGTTTCTATGACAAACGGATTCAGGTTGGTTAGTGAGTTTGGTCAAGTTTTTCCAAAATGGCCACCGGCGCCACTCTTGCAGATTTGGATAATTCCTGTGGAGATGAACGTGCTGTCTTTGGCGATATTTTGTTTCTTGTGCGCTACAGGTAACATTTATGCAAAATGCGGACCTTTGTAGCCATGATTGAAAGTCAACCCACCTATTTTGATGCACAGCTTAGCATGTTAGCTACTTCTACTTGACAGGGCGTAGATAGCGGGCGGGTATTGCGGGGTTATCTCCCACCACTTATTGAGCCGGTGGCTCGGTGGGACTTTTCATCCCTACGTTTCAGCGAAGCGATAATGTTGATCTGTTGGAAAATTTACTATTTTACGACAATATAATATGTATATTTATCTAATATCCGTATCGCTTACTTCACTAGTCTCCTAATGCTCTATTATTACAGAAGATCGGACGTGACATGGTACATCTACTGCTTAAAATGCTGTAACTCGTTCCTAAGAATGGACTTAGTTTTACATTGAAAGCTCAGACGAGTTTAATTGACGCATTCGCCAAAATTCGATTTTTTTCAACACTCTCAGTACATTATTAACTGCTCACGCAAGTGATCCCTTGCTTATTCAAATTAGAATAAGCCTTTTGGACTTTGAGGACGTGGGATATTGAGTCTTGTCGAGGGCTTGATGGGAAATTCATTCATCTCTACGTTTTTTGCGGTGGGCGATGGGTGGTTGCTGAGACCAGGGACCGGACAGTATATTCCGATTTTGTATAGAGGCCGGTAAAGATATGTACTTTTTGGGTTTCAAATTCTGCGCCATTTTCATATTATAAACTGTAAACTATATGTCGTTGTATGAACGTATAACTAGCTGCGCGAGTACCCGTCTCGCCGCTGGTGCTTGTAAATCGTGGGCTACTAATTCTATTCACTACTTTAATGGGACCATAGGAAATAACTGGGTTAAAATACCGCGACTATAATCAATTGCACATATTCAAATATTAGAATCAGTATAATAAGATAAGCATGGCGAAAACTTTTTACGTATGCCACTTTATATCGACAGCACAACCAAATTAGAACCCCTGTAGGCCATTATTTAGTAATTATCGGTGTAAGTAAACAAAAGTTATTATTATATCAACAGCATGTACGAATGGGTTGGATTTCATTTTCAAGCACTCTTGAGAAACAATGTTTTTCGTGTTATTCTCTGGCGATGGAAATATGTAGAGATTCGTGCCGTATCGAACTTCTTGAGCTCCCACGTATGCAGCTATATGGTGCATAGGACTGACATAGGCTGTAGAATTGAAAAAAAAAAAATAAAAAATTAATAAAATGAAAATGTTAAATGAAAATGATAAAAAATGAAAGTGAAATGTAAACATGAAATGAAATATGCTAAAAAAAAATGTAAACAAGAATTGAAGATGTTTTGCACTAGTGCCTATCGACTGCATGACTGGGTACTGCCGGTCCACTGCGGCTTAGTATCGAGTGTATCGACAGCCGTGGGAGTGTTAGGTAGCCACGTCTTATGCCCATCGATAGGCATTGGTGAAAACATTTCAATTTATTGTATTAATTGTTATCATGTTTCATTTCATTTTCACAGTGCCTATCGTGCATAGCCCACAATGCACTATGTGGCTAAGCTGCTGGTGGAGGAAGGAGGTAAGTGAGTAAGTGGAAGAAGGCTGGTTAGATATAGGATGCGAAGAGAGCTGGTGAGAAGAGGGAAGTGCATGTTTGAGACATGGAGAAGGTGGTATCGAGATAGAGGAGGTAGGGAGGAGGGAGGCGTGTGGAGAGGAGGAGGGGAGAAGCTGGTGGGAGTAAGTGAGGTAGGGATCGAGAGGGAGAAGTGGTGGAGGAGAGAGAGAAGCTGCGTGAATAATGCTGGAATTGGGAAGAAGCTGGTGCAGAGACAGAAGGAGAGAAGGAGGGGCGAGATAGAAGCCTGATGTTGGAGGAAGGGGGAGAGGAGAAGGGATAAAGGAGGGGGAGAAGGGAGTGCGTGTGAGGAGAGAAGGGCAGATGGGTAGAAGTAGTGAGGAGGGGAGTAAGCTGGTGGAGAAGAGGATATAGGGAGAAGGAGAAGGTGGCTAGCGAGAAGAGGAGGGTGAGCAAGTGAGAAGGTTGTGGAGAAGGAAGAGGCGGAGTATAGCTGGTTTGGAGAGCCGAGGTCAGGGAGAAGCTGGATGGAGAAGAGGAAGGGTGAGGAAGGAGGGTCGGAAGGGAGCTTGGTGAGAGGAAGGTAGGGTGAGAGTGAGAAGCTGTCGGTGAGAAGGGAAGGGGGAGAGCTGGTCGGAAACTTCTCCTTCTCTCCAGCTTTCGTCCCTCCTCCTGTACTTCACCAGTCTTTCCTCGTCTCACCAGTTTCTCTCTTCTCCACCCTCTTCTCTCACATTAATCCACCGTTTCTCCTTCCTTTCTCCTTTTCTCCTCTTGCACAGCTTCCCTCCTCCTCTCACCAGCTTCTCCCCTTTCTCTTTCTCACAGCCTACTATCCCTCTCCAGCCCCTTCAATCCGTTCCCCCTCCTCCTTCTCACCAGCTTCTCCCCTCTCTCCCACCTTCTCCTTCTCCCCTCCTCCGTCGTCACAGCTTTCCCTCCTCCTTCTCACCACCTTCTCCTTTCTCCCTCGCTCTCTTCTCTACACTTCTCTTCTCCCACTATCCTACCTTTTCACCAGCTTTTCCTTCCTCCTTCTCTACCAACCTTCTCCCTTCTCCGCTTCCTCCTTCTCACCAGCTTTAGTCACGAAAGTGCGCTATTGTGGGCTATGGGCAGCGTAGGCATGTGAAATGAAATGAAAAATTGAAAACCAATTTAAAACAAAAATTGAAATGTTTTTCAGGTGGCCCTATCGCTGCATAGACTGTGTACCTCACTCCACCTCGGATACCATCGAGTAACTAATGCGGAGAGGTGAACTGGGTACCAGCTAGCGCAGTGATAGGCTCACTGTGAATACATTTCATTTTGTTTACATTTTTTTTCATTTCATTTGTTTTCATTGATTTCTATTTTTTTATTATTTTTATTCATTTTGATTTATTTCATTTTCATTCTTTCATTATTTATTTATTTATTTCTTATTTATTTTCTTTAATTTTCCTCTATGGCCAGTCCTTATAGAGCACCTTGTGGCTTATTACATTGGTGGATCGTGCACGATAAAAGAAATTCCAATGATATAGTATAGATGAGACAAGGCCAGCGAAGTTGATGTCTTGTGTCCACTGGAGATATTGTCTATGTGAATGGCTTGGCGTGGCAACTATGCACATTGAAATAAGAAAGTTTGATGCTTATCTGAATCAGAAAATGAATAGCTTTTGGAATTGAGATACAATGCCATTCTGATGCTATTCGTAGCCATCTTGGAATCTGAAGCTCTGAAGTCAGTGGTGTAGTACGTACCTCTTGAACTGGTCTAGGTTTAAGTGCTTCCATGGTTTAGTATGATTTTTCTGTTTCGGGCTTTTCACAATATAAAGCAGCAGGTGATTGAAGATCATTTGTAGCGTGAGGTCAGCAATTGTCACTAAGGTTTTTCTCTGTCTGCTGGCAGCACTGAGCAGTGCACGTGCTGAATTGTGTATAGCTTGACGATATTAACGGGTTTTTTCACGTGGATTTTTCATTGTGGTTCACGTTTGACAGGTTTCTTTTACGACAACTCCCTGGTATAACAGATGGCCTTTGTGAAAAATTGCATCCAGATCGCTTGGGCGGTTATGCCGCCTATAGGGAGATGACTAATACATTACATAAACATAGCATACATACTACAACACTACTATACATACTACTATAAATACCATACTATACGAACTGCAAAACTATATATTTGATTTAAATCCTCTTGCTGTTAAATGAATAAAATAAGAAATACCCGCGGTCTGTAGCCTTGCTGGCAGTGGGTTTGCTGCAACTTCTCAGATCGTGCGCTTTGAGTGGCGCCACCGTCGTTGTAATCAAACTGTAGTCGTTAGTTTTAAAACATTTTTTTTAAATATTTCTAATGGTGATTGAACCATGAAACTTTTTATGTAGCGCAATTATAACCTAAATTAGCTGAAAATAACCCTAGAACCTAGAGGCTACTGTTCCTTTAAACCTCTGGGATCCACAGAAAAAATTACCCTAGAACTCACAAAATTGCACTTACAATATCAATTTTTTTCAATTCCCTCAAAAACGGCCATCTTGAATGTTATAAATTGCTAAAATTCAAGAGCTTCCGGGGGCTCCGCCCTCTCGACCCCAGGCAAGGGCTCTGCCCCTGCACCCTGCCAGGGGCCTTAGGGCGGGCCCCTGGACCCCACCCATTAAGGGCTTTGCGCCAAGGCGCTCGCGGTGTGCGCTCGATCATCGCGCACACTCTTCATATACATTGCGTTGGAAGTAACAGCGAAATCATCCTCCCCTCCCACAACTGAGGACCTGTCTACGCCACTGCTAGGAGGAACGTAATGGAACCAACTGTGGGTGTGATTGGCTGTGGAGAAATATCATGAAAAAAGTGGCGGACACACTCGGTGAACTCGCTTGGGAAGTTGGGATATTATAGGAATGTGTGATAGCAATGCACTATGTTTGGTTTTATACAATTCCTACGTATATGCCTTTACCGAAATTGAGATTTATTCGCTCATCAACTATAGTGTATAACTTAGCAGTACATGTGTAGAGGATTACTTTGGTTTATATTGGTTGCAGCAAATGTTACATATTACGTTTACAAATTCCTAGGGTGACATACATTTTATTAAGGCTCATTATTGTACTGTTACTGTTTTGCCTAAAAGAATTTTCTAACATCTAATTGATGATAGAAATATTTTTTAACATCTCTATAGATATGTAATCATTATAATCAGTATAACAAACTATAACATCATATTTGTTATCATTTATTTTATTTACAAATATTTGTATAACCAGCTAGTATCTAAGACAAACTGATACATAAATATTGTAATTTCCAATTATACATAATTGTGCGATCATTGCCAATGAATGTCATGTTTACATGTAACTGTGAATCAAACGAAGCCTCCTCTGAAGTTACAAAAAGGCTTCACTACTTCAAAATGGAACTTTAAAAACAATTAAAATTGTACATATGCCAAAAAACTAAAATTGTATAGATTCAAAAGAGAATATAAAATGTATGTAACATTTTTCATTAAATGAAGACAATAAAACTTAGAAAATCCTCCCTAGTAATTATAATCGTGCTATATAGGTTTAACCCACAGGTTAGAAAACGTCACAGTCGACTAATTGCTTTCATTTCTGAATAAAGTTTCATTTAATAATTAACTTAACATCTAGTAGTACGTATAGCAATTGTTATGTGGCACTAGTGAAAACTTGATGGTGCTAAGAACTCCAATCTATGTTAACTTTGGATGACTCATTCTCTTCTCCATTTCCAATTTAATGAATTTGAAAACCACGAAATCTGGAACTATTTTCATGAGGAGGACCTGGAAAAAACGGGAATTATCTTAAATATAGTTATTTTTCTTGCAGTGATTATTATCAACATCTAAATGTACACATTACATCTACATATACCACTAGCCTAAATAAACAATTGCACTTGGAACCAATAGCAATTGTATCATTTATTATTCACAAATGTCTATCTTATGTCTTACTAATATAAAATGAGAATATTAATATGTAATACATAGTATAAATATATACTAACTATTCTGCAACACTACCATTTATAACACAGAATTCCATAACTATCTGATAATGGGAGAGTCAATAAGGTATCTTGGATGAAATTTAGCCATCGATCCACAAGCTTTTTCCTGACATGCGAAAAAAATGCAATACTCCCTGCGGGTGGCAGAGATAGTACATATGAAACCGATGACGGCAGCCCAGCTTGGCGATCGTCCACCCACCTGCAGAGCGTGTACAAGGTAGCCGCTCGTGCGAGACTGTACCCCGATGGTAGTGAGAGCGCTACGGACATACACCGACGCGGACGGACAGTAGAAGCTCACGTCCTCTAACGACATCTTTGTAGCAACAAATCCTGGCAACACTCCCTGAGGATCGAAGTAATTAGAATTGCGAGTGAGACAGGCACGTCTTGAGATGCCCATTTAATGTACAAGGAACTCGGGGTTGCAGAAAAACAATGCACGCTCTTTTTTAATTTAGTATTAAATGTATGTATTAATAGTATGTACTTTGACCAACACATACGAACAAAATCGCCCTTCCTGAACAAAATACGTTTGGACTTTTTGACTGAATTTATAGGTACATATAACTTGTGAATGAAGTTTCAGAGACTATTATGTTTGTAATTTGTTGACATATTGTATACTTGAAGTTCGCTCTGTTAATATGTTGAAGAATAAAATCTAGTAACAGGAGATGATCATTGAAAAGGCACATCCCAACACATAAAGGATGTTTAAAAAACTTACCTGAATAATCACCCCTGTGCCTTGCAGTTCCGTCTCCAGCGACCTTGTTAAGAAGTCGACGAATGCCTTTGTTGCACTGTAGGTGGCCAGGAACGGGTAAGGCACTCGAGCGCTGTCAGAGGAAATGTTGACGATAGTTCCACGCTTGCGAGAGATCATCTGCGATAAGTGAAAGCCGTCTGTCAATGACTTGCACGTTCTCTCGCAGTAGTTATAATTATGAAAGTGAGACATATTGAGGTATATATACATTTTTCTTATCATACTACTAGTGAGTGTATGCAGTCTCTACTATGTAGTTTCAGTAAATAATACGGCTATATAGTCCTCTTGAAGAGAATATAACCTCAATCTTCACTCCCGACGAATGAATAGTCAATCGTAGTTTTGGGCCTCTACACTATATAGGACAAGGAGACTTAAAGTAGTAGGCAGCAGAGTGTTGAGTACCTTCATAAACTCAATTTTAGATCTTTGATTTTTAGCTTCGTGCACTGAGAATTAGGGTGTCTTATAAATACCAGCAGGCTATTTTTAGGTCAACATCACACACTAATGACGAATATGGAATAAAGCCGACCCTATATCAAGGATATTCTACTCAGAATAGTCTACCTTCTACCGTAATCAGCTCCGACAATGTCATATGGCTCTACACATGTGGCCATTCGCTCCGCAACAACCATTTCAACAACTTTTTGCCGAGCACCAACATGCAGATAGGCCTACATGAATTAATTAAGCTAACATGAACAAGACCACCAAACCTGCGGCAGCACAATGTGCGTCATCATGACGTATGACAGGTTGTTGACGTTGATCATATCCGCGTGATAATCCCTGCTGATGGCCAGGAAGTCGCTGTAGAGGCCTGGGTACGCCATGCCGACGTTGTTGACCAGCACGCCGATCTCCAGCTCACTCAGCTCCCGCTCGACGTCTGCGTATATCTCCCTGCCGCCGCTGCAATCGACGACGACCGTCTTCACCTGCACGTTGCCGCGCGCGCGAACCTCATCCTCCGTCGCCTTCAGCTTCTCCGGCGAGCGGCCGACGAGCACAATGTTCAAACCGAGCTCTGCTAGGTGCAGTGCATACTGCTTCCCGATACCGTCCGTAGCCTTTGTAACGTGACACGACACCTTCAGCGCTCATATTGTAACTATATCAGGAGCAAATGAAAATAATATTTGTCGTTATTCGCTCATGTGTATTTTACATGTGTATTATTTATAATTATATCTATATATGTAAATAATGATATAATGTACATATACTGCAATTTAATGTAAAATATACGGTTACACTGCTATGTATATGCATATGTGTATGTACATGAGTATGCATATTATGTACGTATGTATATGTATACATAGTACAATGAATAACTATGTGAATATGTGAAATATGTGTATGCTGTTACATATGATCAGATGATTAGACATAAACCTACAGTGTCCCAAACTAGGGCTCATAGGGTCTATGTCCCCCAGGGTACTATCGGAAGGTACCCTTGGGTACGGTTCGATATATCGGAACGTACCCTGGTAACTATCTGATATGGTTAGGGTTAGGGTTAGGGTTAGGGTTAGGGTTAGGGAGTAGGCGTAGGCGACTCCCTAGACTCGTTAGTGGAGTAGGCGAGGTACGGTCCGGCATATTAGATAGTACCAGCTGGGTACATTCCGATATATCGAACCGTACCCAGGGTACCCTCCGATAGTACCCTGGGGGACATAGACCCTTTCAGCCAAACTAGGATGCCTTCTTCATACTCACAGCACTGAGTCCCAGGCACTTGGAACGTCTCAATAAAATTTAAAAAAGGTTAATAAACACGAAATGTATTTACTACCAAAGTCTTAATGTTTCTCTACTCTATGTCGCCTATTATTGCCGATAATTTCCTGTAAATGTCGATCAACACACAAGTACACCGCACACACGCCGCTGCACATTTACACATAATATATATATATATATATATATGTATAGTATAATATAATAATATATCATGTATAATCACGTAACAGCGTGTACCTGTCACTACTGCCCAACTGCCCATCTCCTTTAGGTCTGCATGCAGCTTCAATGGACGTGCCAGGACATAAACCTTGACCAGTCGCCACACGAACAGCAGAATCGCGAGCGATATAGCCGCCGTACATACGATGCCAATCACTGCGAAGGCGTGCATGCAAGAAGACCCCATATTGTAGTACAGTAGTATACCGAACGGGAAGCACAATTAACAGGTTCCGCGGCAGTCTCACTCGATCGTCACCACTCCTTATGGCCAAATGACGACGACGCTGCGTAGTAGAAGACTAATATCCAATTTAAAAACAGATACGGATACATGCCTACAATCAGTGACCTACACTTGCAACCCTATGTGTTTGTTTTACCGCGCCTACTGCCTGGCGGTGGGTGGGGGAGTGGAGAAGGCGTCAATCTCCATTCATATCCTCGTTTTCGGCCGTCGTGTTACTTTGCGCTTACCACACAGGGACTTGGAAAGTTTTTATAATAAAATTTAAATGTGTTTACTTCCAAATTCCTAATGTTTATCTACTCTTTATCGCATAATAATTTCACGTAGATTCCGTTCAAATGCTCCTAAGCAACACCATCTCGCAGCTCGGATGACAATTACCAATGACAATGACAATGCACAAATTCACAGGGCATCAATCACAGCAGTGTTAACGATACTTGGAACAGGTGAGCGCATGACCATGTGATTGACGATGTTTGGTACATCAGGAGGGCGAACTTGGGATCAATGGAAAAAAACTCACGGCTATGTTCCGTATGTGTAAACATCCGGTGGTGCTACTTTCGTGAGAGGAGTACATTCGTTTAGATATGCTAAAGAAATATAACGAAATTAGCAATACAACTGTGAATAAAAAACTGAAATACCTTTAATTTTGCTCTTGGAGCTGATATCAAGAGCGTATAGGGAAGGGTTCTTAATACGCTTTTGCTGATATGCATGTGTGATGTGCGTATATGTGTGTGCGTATATGCGTGCGTGTGTGTGCGTGCGTGTGTGTGCGTGCGTTCGTGTGTGTGCGTGTGTATGCGCGCGCGCGCGCGCGCGTGTGTGTGTGTGTGTGTGTGTGTGTGCTGTGTGTGGGTGTGTGTGTGTGTGTGTGTTTGTGTGTGTGGTGTGCTGTGTGTGTCGTGTGTGTGTGTGTGTGTGTGATGTGTGTGTGTGTCTGTGTGTGGTGTGTGTGTGTGTGTGTGTGTGTGTGTGCATGCGTATGCGTGTACGTGTGCATGTGCGTGTGGTTTGTTGTTGTGAAGAAGTGTTCTGAGGAAGACGCCATGTTTTCGAAAGCTTACGAATAAAAATTAATACCTTATTCTATTTTTCAATATTTCACAATATTTATATTATATATGTTTTATATAGGTTATAATATATACATATATATATATACAGCACTGAATACAAAACATGTTATCATTCGCTCCTAAGTACATGTGTAGCGCGGTTGAATGATTCGATTATCTATAGCATGTAAGATAATAGGCGGGATAACAACACGCGTGCAAATACATGTGTACCCCCTTTCGTTCCCATTGAGATGATAACCGCGTTGTGACTTCGACCTGACCTCTGGAGGGGTGACAGTATCTATTTTTTGTGCAATCGCATGAGGCGGAATGTTTTTTAGTATGTAATTTAGTCGCATTGGGGACTTTGGAGTGTGCGCGTGAGAACACGGGATGGTCAGCAGCGCTCGCAAAGCGTAATTTAAAAAGCTCCAGTCTCCAGCAGCTTTACAATTACAGTATAAGAAAGTGGCGATGTATTGTATGGTTAGCGGCTTAATCCACCCCGCCAACCTCCGCCTATCCCCTCCCCGCGTATCTAAAAAGATTTATATGATTTACATAAACTTACATGTATACAAGTATTTAAAAAACGATTATATGCTATATATGCACTCATTAAAACAATCCAGTTAAACTTAATTTATATCCCGTATGATATTAACATTCTAATAAAACGCGGCCGCATCACTTCAAAACATGCATTTACCTGCACGTGTGTTGTATGGCGATCTATCATAGCCGAAATATGGTTGATAACGATCATTTTAAATACACTCACATAATATGCATGACATTCTATATTTACTTGTAAATTAGCCATTAAAAAGGTAAAACACAACTTCTATATGATATGCATATAATCCTCTACTTTAATTACGCATATGTAGCTATTGCGTAGCGCGATACATTCAGAACACTAAAATGCGCCCTTCTGCCCAGCAGAGGTGGCACTACAGATTGACCAACGCAGGGGCTAAGGTCTTCGGCGGGGAGTTAAGGTGTCCGACCGGGGAGCCGAAACTAACATTGCGAGTAGGGGACCAAAGCCTATCTAAAACTAGGAGATCAGATTTTTCCAAGATTTCTAGGTTTAAGACGGCATCTTTAGAGTATTAAACAAAAAAGGATTACTATATTTTTAACAATTTTTATATTCTCATATATATAAATAAATCAACCATTCACATTGCTGATGGATTTTATTGTTTCATTGTTTTACTGCGAGTAGCGCGCCACCTACCATCTCGGGGGCCACCCCTGCTACCCAGCTGTCTAGTAGCGCACGAAGGGTCGTTGTCGTATAATAGCATCTAATATGTACCCGAGGTAACTATGAGGTTAGAGTTAGGGTTAGGGTGTTAGGGTTAGGGTTAGGGTTAAGGTTAGGGTTAGGGAGTAGGCGTAGGCGACATACTCTCCGACACCTCGGGTACTATACTCGGGTACATATACGACAACGACCCCTTCAGCTCTAGTAGCTGTCAAGGCCATTCATGATGCTGTTCGTTGACTTGATTTCCGCGTGACTACGAAACTCTTCCATCTCTTTCTGCATCGTCGTGTGAGAGGGTCTAGGAGAGATGATCAGTCCTCGCCGTATCCTTGCCATCTCTGTTTTTTCTCGCGTTGCTCTCAACCTGGGATACGAACATCATTGACTAATACCTACACAAATGATCATTGCTACCAAGCTGTATCTGCATAAGTGATCATGCTGATCACTTAAAATGAAGCAGGTAACCGGTACACGGGCTATCTGACAGAAAGTATATCGTACGACAAAGGGGGAAATGTATAGGGGAATGTCTAGACTCTGATATATGAAAGTGCAGGACGTACGATCGAGTGCGCCAAGAGATGGGCGAGGTCCTGTGCATGCAGGGCACGCTGATATCTTGGCTTTATACCTAGCTACCTGTATGCACTCGTATATATCTGGTTTTCTACCTAAACATATTTCTAACCACACACAAGCACACGCACACGCACACCCAACACACACACACACACACACATACACACACGCACGCACGCATGCACGCACGCACACACACACACACATGCACTAACACACACATTTATATATATATATGTAACGAATTTCGCGTCTGCCGCAGCCATCGCATCCCCGCGTTCTGCTCTCGGCGGCAGCGTCGCCGCACCTCCGGGATGTGAGGGGGCTCACCCCGCATGGAAGGACGAATGCACGTGCTGGCCACGAGCGTGTCCGAAGCCGACGGACGGTCACGGTGAATTCGCGACGTGCGTCACGTCCGAAGCCGACGGGCGTCCCGGTGAAGCCGGCGTACGTCACGTCCGAAGCCGACGTGCTTGTCACGGGTGAAGCTGACCCACGTGTCACGTCTAAAGCGGCGTGCGAGTCACGTCTAAAGCAGCGTGCGGGTCCACGTCTGAACCGCTGACTTACGTGACACGGCTGAAGCCGACGTGCGTGTCACGTGTGTGCGTGACGTGCCTGCTCTGAGCCGTATAAATACCGTGCTCCCCAGAGCACCGGCAGTTTGGAAGCTCGAGTTTAGAAGCTCAGTTTGCCAGCTGCAGCTCAGTTCGTCCAGTTCAGCGTTGAGTTCAGTTCAGTCACCGGCAGGCTGGGCTAGTAAACCCGGCGACATCACAGAGGAGGAATCCGTCGGAGAAGGAACACAACGCAAGATACAGCACGAAGCAATCCCGGCGATCTCTGCAAGGACTTGGCCGCTCTTCTACAGAGGATCGTTTTGGTAAGCCTTGCGCCTAGTTGTAATCTGTTCGCTATACTCGGGCTTTACGCTGCCGAGGAATATTACCGTTTTATGCCCCACTCTGGTCGGTTTGACCAGAAGCGGAATAAAAGCCCCGGACCTAATCCGCGGCCGTAAAACACTTTCATTTTTGATTGTGTTGTTTGTTCTTGTGGCGGAGCGTGTACAATCCAGTGGTCGAACAGTGAGAGATCGCCAGCGTAACGGGGAAAAACGTAAGCATTGTGTGCCGTGACCAGGATGTACACTCGGTAGACGGTTTAATCGTCCCCCGAGAGTCACAAGGCAAACGTGCTTGTAGTATAAGAAGCATAAGCATCCTAACCGTGTCGTCACTGGTTTCGCTTGTTGCGATCGTCCATCAGCCCTACCCATACCTCACGTTTTTCGCGCCGTGGTAACTCGAGTTGCGTATCGTTCCTGGTTTCGCTTGTTGCATTGCCGTCAGCTTACCATACCTTTACGTAGGTCGGGGCGGAACGGTGGCTAGCTACATCCACCCACATAGCCCTGGAAAGAGCCTGGACTTTGCCATGGCTACTCGGTGCAAAGCAGGTGACGAGTCGGGGTGCAGCGAAGAGCAACTTCGCTGCCCCGTACTCGTCGGTCACCTTGATGTGTAGCGGAGCATGGTGCTGTGCCTCTGAGTGAAACGTCTGGCCGTTCGGCTCGCCGGTCAGTGGGCACGCCCCCTTCCCTGGTGAAGCCAGCGAACGTCGCCCGGAGTCAGACCGGACCCGGACAGTGGGTCTATCAACGCATCATGGAGGCGCCGAATCAAGCCCGGCTCCTGGCGTACCAGCAGACCGGACGCCGCTCGACATCTCGAGTGGGCAAGCGACAGCAACGCCGGCTCCGTCAACGGAAGGAACGCCTTAAGGTACGAACTACAAACGCAAGGGGACGTACCGCTGAAGCGTTCCTCGGCCAAGTTGACGTCGTGGCACACCACAACGGATGGGACCACAGTGAGAGGGCTGCGCAAAGGGCTAAGCCGCGCCTCC